ACTTCATCCGAAGTAGTTGGGCGTAATATAAACATCGTTCCAGTGGCAGCTGGTTGCACATAATGATGAAAAGCTTTGCCATTGGTAGATTGTGATACATTGTTTGTTAATTTGGACCCTATTTCAGCAAAATATCGGTTTAAACATTCAGCTATTTCAGTATTGTGACTACTTTTTTGTTTATTAAAAGAGAAGAAATATTTTGAGATTTCGAGCTTCGGCACATTAACTCATTTATTGTATTCCAAATTTCTTTGGTATTTCCTTTGTTGACTGCAAACAACCGGTGATAGTAATCTCTTTTTGCTTCTTTCAGCATATTATTACACTTATTTCGGGCAAGTTTAAAGTGAAGCCAATTATCTGTATCGTTAGAAATCACTGCTTTTCACCGATCATTTTGTATCACCGATCATTTTGTAATATGCCATGGCATTTGTGCAATGTCAAATATCTTTGTTTCTGTTGGTACAATTAATTAAGGGATGAAACACTATGCATGAATAATCTATTTTAGATAGAATCAGACTTTCTACTTGTTTCTGCACATGGAATGGTGCTAAATTACAAAGTTTTTTTATCACTGCGAAAACTCCATAATATGACGATAGCAGTGCTTTGACATGCACTTTCCATGACAAATGCTATGCCAAGCAGTCAATTTGCACAAACTGATGTCTCTCACAGAGGTAGTTCAATACTCATAGCTGAAATTTGTTAGAAAATCCCATTTCATGAATTTTTATTATTAGACTTACATGAACAATATTAATACCTGTATTCAAGCAAGTTATTGTATTTTCCATTCTTCAGTTGTAACCACATAAGCAAAGATAAGGCCCAGCGCACACTAGCGCAGCCTGCATACCTTGCATACCTTGCATATCATTCTTGACAAATTGAAAGATACTGCGTGTGACCCCCGCAAATTGTGAATAATGTCATTTAGGTTTAAGAATGGCAACAGGTTTATCCACTGCTTAACAATGCTAATAGACAAATTTTGCTCTTGCATTGTCCATTGTAGATTTAACAGGGGCATATGAACCGGGGGCACAGACCCCAGTGCCCCTCCCCAACTCTGAAAAAAATAAAGGTGACAGAAAGTGCCTTTTTTCAGATGGAAATGCCCTTCTTACCAATGCATAATAATTGGTGAATTAATTGAAAGTGCAATGCAAGGCAAGAACAGAAACTGAATTTTATTAATTATTCAGAGCACCCACATTCAATAATTAAATAGTGTCGAAAATTTTTGGACCTACATTCTGAAAAATGTTTGCAACGGGGGTAGCGTAAAAATTTTACAAAAGTTTAAAAACATATTAATTTATATCCTACGCCACTGATTAACAGTATATTGTCTGTGTCAACGTTTAACTTTAATTGAAATAGATATAATAACCGAAATACAAAAAAAAAGATGTAGTAAATGTCCAAAAAATTAGTTTAAAACACAATTAACCATGTTTAACTTTTATTCAAGATACCCTAACCATTTACATAAGAAATATCAAAATTACAGTAGTAAAATGAATTATAATACATGTGTGATATAACAGACAAATCACAATTTAATTGGCTAATGGCCGTGCATTTTGACGCAATAATGCACTGTTATCTGTGGCAATGGTTTGCTCTTTCACCCTTTATCTGTTTTTCCCCCACTTTATAGAGGCTTTTAGCAAAAATATAAACACTATAGAGCTTTTAAAATACAAAATTTATCAGAAAGCAAGAAGGAATAGACCAAAGAAACTTTTCTATAGTTCTATGTGATAAAACAAACCGATTTAAAACTGAGAAATACGATGAAACCCACGATTTAACGTTCTTCATGACAACTCCAGCAGTCCGGATGCTGAAAAACTTTGGCAAATAAGTCTGTGTATCACTGTTTTTTATTTCCAGCATGTTAAACAATTTTTCCGGCTTTATAGCATCAAAAGTTTGTATTATTTTAGCCACTTTGCTATTTCACTCGCTTAAAAATTCAAGCGACAGTAAAAGCATGCGTGTGACGTGACTGATTACATGTTAAGAGAATTTCAATGTGGATCTTTTGAGTAAAATTGTTTCCTATGTAACATCTTCTACTTATAAAAGAAATAGAAAAACTCGTCTCGTGCGTTTGTAGTGTGATAATGCACTCGGGGAATGTTGGGAGAACACTCGAGAAGCGTGTAAACCACTCAGCTATACCTGTGTTTACACGCTTCTCTCCCGACTCGTTTTCTATTTCCTAAATAAACACAACATACTACTCATAGCACTTTACAATTCTATATGTTACATATAGTGTAAAACATGATACAATTTGCTGAAATAAAGGTAAGGATTGGACTATTATGAATTGGGGGAGGGGGTGGAAAGTAAAAAATTCTTGTAAGGTTTGTTCAGTGGGAAAAATCTGGCAGAAACCCAAGGTGGGAAAGCGCCTTTCGGTGTTAATGTGCACTTCATACTATTGAAAGCAAGATATTTTGTCGCACCTTGGGTTTCTGCAAGATTCGTGTTGTATGAACTTCCGAGATAATTTATGCTAATTTATAGGTTAAAATGGGCGCATGCGTAGTTGACATTAGTTGGCACATGCGTATATTATTGAACATGGCGTGACTCAAAGAAAGGCTTCTGTAAAATTCTATAAAAGAACAGTTTTGTGTTCAAATATATATGTGAAATTCGTTCTAAAATCGTTACACGTGTTTTCTAGTTCACAAGACTTGCATGATGTTTTTTTTTAATTGCCACCATCCTCCCCCCAATTTCTAATGGTCCATCCCTAAAGCAAAGACAATTGTTAATCGATTGATTTTTGTGTACTGGAACAAGTCATGCTTGCTAAATTTTATCTAGCCTTGAATGAAGCCCAAGTAGCTAATGTAATTAGTTAATTAATGGTTGATACAATAACCAGTTGCTATAGCATGTCTCTCTATCCGAAGACTAACAATTCTGAATCTTGATACAGTATCTTCTTAGCATAATATAACTTAATTAACATAATATAACAAAACAGAATGACATAATAGATACTGTATCTCAGTGTGAACCAGTTTTATGCTAATATAATTTTCTTGCTTTGGCATACCTCTTTACTTTGTTGAGCAGCTGCATTTTACCGTACTTCTCGGTTATTTTTAATTTTTGACAAGATTCATCATTATTAATGCATTGCCAAATAGCGTCAGGATCAAAGTTGCCTTCTTTATAAAATGCTTCCGTAGCTTTCATGAGAGCTTGGGTTTCTCTGGGCAAGAAATGTATTTTTTTCTTCTTTGGAGATTTGTGGGCTTCTTTTATTTGCTATATAAATGAATAATTGAATAAATAAGGTAAGTACACAAACTCACTTACAAAGTAAAGGGATTTTCAATAAATTGTATTTGTATTTTTGCACAAGTGAACATAACAAATCTTATTTTTCACCCTGCTCGGTTTCCTTTGTTCTTGTCGGGGAATATATTCAATATTCCCCTCTAATCAATTTCCGTTTAATAATCCCCTCTAATATTCACCTGCAATTAATAACCCCCTCTAATATTCACCTGCAATGTCTTTGCAGCACAAAAAATGAGAAAAAATAACATCGCGAAGGCAATATGGCATTAAGAATTATTTCTATTCTGACTCTTTAACACGACCTCGCAGTGTGAAAAATAAGTACTTATTTTGAGGCACCTGGGGGATATGTGTTTATTCACCTCGGCGCTGTGCGCCTCGGTGAATAAATCACATATCCCCTCGTTGCCTCAAAATAACCTATACCTACACGTTCATTGGTCAAATTTGACGTATTAAGCTGTTATATTCACCTACAGGTGAAATAAGCTGTTATATTCACCTACTGCGTTCAGTGTTGGCGTAATTACAAATACTTCATGTTGAAACAATGTTTGGAAAATGTAGGCGAGGGGTTGTTGCAGAATCTAACTTCACTTATGTACCTCTTTGCACGATCACTAAGCCTGTGTATTCCTGTCTACAGCTTAATTGGGGCCATTCTGATGATTAAACTGATCCATTTGAGAAATAAAAAAGAAAAATTATACTTTTTAGCAACGACATATGTAAACAAACCGAGCAAAAAATTTGCGAAATATAATAGTTTTGTTTGTGGAAACATGACGTAAATTTATTACTGCAAAGCTTTCGATCCGTAAGCCCGGATCTTCATCAGTGTTAATAATTATTAGCACTGATGAAGATCCGGGCTTAAGGATGGAAAGCTTTGCAGTAATAAATTTACGTGGCGTTTCCACAAACAAAAACTATTATATATTTTATCGCCATGCAATCATACAAAGAACTTAAATGTTGACAGAAAAATAATGTACAATCTAATATAAAAAACAAATAAAATTTAAACTACAACAAATACGAAAACTCATTTGGCCTATATATTGAAAAATTTACTTCAAACTTACCATAATACTGGTTTCTTATGGCTTTTAAAAAACTCAAAACAACTAAACAATTCTAAGCTTTCGGGATTTCCTCCGCAAACTACATCACAAGCCTGCTGACGTCAACCTTTTTATAAAGGTCTATTCAACTGGGCTCTGCATTCATTTGAATAAAACCAGAGCAGCGAAACAGGTATGTTATTACACCTAGTTGCCGTGGTCGAAATTAGTATTTTAGTGATTTGAAAGGTCATCAACACATTGCCATAGCTGCCAACCTTTTGCAGATTTTGTGCGCAAGATTGATTTAAATATCTCGTGGCGAAGCCACGAGCTGCCTATACCGGGGGCATGCTCCCCCGAAAAATTTTTAGAATTAGGGTGTCTAAAATGGCATTTCCAGCATTCTGAGAACACATTTTGTAATTATTTTTAGGTTTCAAAACAATATTTTAATAGTCCATAATCCGAATCAGAGAGCCTTTAATATGCCAGATGGTGATATTTTATCAATTATGCAATAAGCTAAACTGTGGTTGTCAAATGAGGTATTCACAACGATATTGCATGACCGTAAAAAATTGTTCAACACCCACCCTTCCACCTGAATTCGAGAGTCAGAACACACTAGTTTGCATTTTTTTAATAACTCTAAGAACTGCTAAGCAATATAATATAAAATTATTTTAGTCTAAATAGATGTGTGTTTTATTGTAAAAAATGAACAATACAGGAGTATTCTTATCACACACTTCATTTCGAACAGTGTGCAAGGTTATATACCCTCGTAGCGGACTTGGCTGTTTTAAGCAGTTCTTTGTTTGGCTCGAACTGGTGAGCTGCTTCGGTGTGTGCGAGTTTAATCGTCAGGATGCTGGAGAGCATGCCTTTGGGGTCAAGGGCAGGCCGGAACGCGGTCTTGTTCTTGCGAACCATTGAAAAGACACGCTCCTCTTCTGCATTTGAGTGTGGGATTATAAGTACCAACATTGCAACCTTTGATAGACGACTGAATCGTAATCTGCTATCTGGAGCCTTTAAGGTAGAAATGTGATGCCATACGATATCCATACGGTGGTATGTAGTGTCATCATCTATGACAATCGAGGCTTTGTCCCACACGTCAGAAGGTATGTCATCATCTTGCAAAAGTTGGTACTCGACAAATTCATCCAACAAAACATCCATCTCTCTTGGTGACTGAAATGGCAGCAGATCACCGAATCTAAGTGGAACAAAGTTAAAATAGCAGAATTTTACTACGTCAAGTATACGTTTTCCAATTGTCCCTAAATGTAAGTCGTTTATGTTCAAAGGCATACACACCGACATACAGCGACACTTACCTCGCCACAAAATAATCAACTTGCTGAAAGGTGGCTGTCTCTCTGACATGAAAATTCACAAATCCAGCATTTTGTAACAGTGCGTCCTCCAGAGGAAGATCTAAAAGGGCATACTCCATAGCTTGTTCATAAAACGCCCGAACACTTCTATAAAACTTAGCTTGGTCATGCTCACTGATGTCTCCATCATTGAAGAGTTCCCGCAATTTCGTTCTTGTAAGAAAACCAACAAACAGTTGGTTATCTAAACAGAAAAAATAATTTAAAATCTGTAATAAGTGTAAAGTTAACGTTTGGTTAAGTAGTTGAAACGGGTGCTTAGACTTGCCCTAATAGGATTATGTTAACTAGCTATTAGGTTTTTTGTTTAGTTGTTTTTAGACAGTAATGAACGGAGACGAGACTGATTATATATACCAGAAAGTTGGTTGTCCTGATCTTTGAAATCCATTGCTCTGAAATTCCCGTTCACATTCCTAATTTCTTGCACAATAACAAACTTGGAAGCTAGTTTGCGTAGGAAGGCGCTCATTTCATCGTCAATAACAGGAATAACTGGATCCTCTCTCTGCAGAAACAAGTTGAAGTGGATGAAGGTTTGTAGTGCTGATTTATAGAATAGTAGGTACACTTCTGTCATTGGTTTCTCAAACAAAATATGCAGCCTAGTGAACCGAGCTGAATTGTCCTCTGTATAAAAAACATAAAAATACAGAGCAGGATGAGTTTCGTTATATTAAACAGTGCAAGGAAAATTAAGTTAAAATGTCAAAACTGAAGGCGAAAAGACAAACCTTCAGACAAAAAGTAGCTCTTAAGAGCATCATACTGTAGTAGTACACGACCAACCGCTCGCTCTAAGCTAAGCCATCTGGTGTTCAGATGTTTCACAATCGGTCTGTAGTCGATGTCACAAAAACTGCAATATTCACTCAGACATGCCAAAAGAAGATGTCTATCACAAGATCTTCAACATTAAATTTTGAAACCTTAATAAAAGAGAAGTAGTTACATTTTGGTAGAAAGCCTTAACCTACGGTTTAACGTCCTTGCTCGAGAATAATTAAAGGTCTAAGAGCAATGGCAGGACCTTCTTCCTCAATTATTTTAAGACCGTTTGTGTTGGTCCGGCCTGGATTTGAACCCATGACCTCCCGCTTCATAGTCGGATGCTAAACCAACTGAGCGGTCACAATTTAACATACCATACTTACAGTTTCACACGCTTCTGCTGCTTTTCCTGCAGTATTGTGAACTATGTGACATGGGCAGCCCATAATGAAGATGGCTCCGTTTTGTTGGAGAACCCTTGTCTTGATGGAATTGTTACAACCCATATTAACTGAGGTGTTGTCAACACCAACTCCAACACAATTATCCCAGGATATTTGATGCTTCTGCATGACACCTTGCATCTTGGCAAATATACCCTCTGCGGTTGATGAAGAAGACATGCACATGTCTAAGAACTGTGTGCATACCATCCCATGGTTAATATCAAATATGCGCACTGTTAGGGGGTTCATCTTTTCAGGGGCTGAGTCACCTGATCCATCTGTGGCTAGGGCAAATGGTCCATTCCATTTTTCATCTTATCTACCAGGATACTTTGGAAACGTGGAGCGACAGCACCATTTATTATACATGTTTTTGTTCTCCTTGATGAAAAGTTCTTTGCGATTTGACTATCAGAGAACACATCCTGAAAAAGTGGAGTGAGTTCGTCCGCCACGGCGAGTGGAATATTATGCTTCACCAGCATTGTTGCAATCTTGACCTCTGCACGAGTAGTCTGTGAACAGTAGTCTGTGAACAAAAGAGACATTTCTTTAATTTCAACATGTATGACGTCATCAGAAATATTACATAGAAAAGCATTTAAGTGATTAAGGCTTGTTTCACATAAAGCTCTACAGACAAATTTAAATTAAAACAAACGATTTTAATTGAACGAACCGCTAAATTCGTCGGTCGCTAGCGCGTCTTATGCACTGACCTATAGTGATATACTAACCTGGATTGATTACTCTGTTAAGTTTTACTTGCGGAAAGTGTCCGCGTCATGTAGGTTTTGAGAATCATGGAATGAATCGCTCACCAGGCTCGCAAACTGCCTTTTCGTGTTGGCATGCGGTAATATTGCGGGTGAGACCTATATGTATATATATATGTATATATATATATATATATATGTATATGTAGTACAATCTGCAGACATGCATGTTCGTCCTACGCCTCGTCAGTGCAGCTTGGTACACATCTAGATACGCGATGACTTTCGTATTTGTATACATGCAACTTGCTCCCCCAGGCGCATGTGGTACAGTACGGGCCATCAACGCATCCAGACATGCGCAGAGTGTCATAGGGCCAGAGTGCTCAAACAACCACGAGGTTGCATACGTCAACTTTCATCATCTTTTGTGTGGACACTTTTGGATTGGAGAACTCAGTCCAGTGTATATATGTCAGTGGTCGTATGTTACAGGCCAATCCGCTTACCACTGTTTAACATTTATATTATTTTACATACCTTCTCAATTAATGGGCTGTCATACCTAGGGAAGTTGATTGTACGCTGACCGCGAGCGGCTTTCACATTAGCAATGTGCATTTGATTTCCAACATGTCTTTCAATGTCGGTTATACCCATATGACTGCATTTCACACTTCGTTTACAAATATTACAGTAAAAGCTGTAAATATCATCTGATACTTTGTCGATGAAAGGAAATTTTTCTCGCCACTGTGGATTAAATTTTGTGCGATACACAGCAGCACCATGGGTTTTTCTCGTCACTTTTGCCTTTTTAGGATTCGAACTGCCATCAAGATCATTGCTATCTGACAAATATGTTGTTGTTGTTATATCATCTGAGGTTGAGTCTGACATTTTGAATTTGTAAACTGCCCAGGCTCCGCATCAATTATTTGCATAAATATTTGCATATTTATTTGCATAATTATTTGCATGATCGAATATCAGACTTCAAATAATAAAGGTATTTGAGCGTTATAATATTAATTAAATTATTACATAATTTCATTTGTGTATTATCCTCGAAATCTGATGACTGATTGCGATATATTGCAGCAATAGTAAAGTTTGAGTAAGACTAGAAGGCGTGAAATTGTCAAGTAGGTGTGAAATCGTTAATAAGGCGTGAAATTTTTAATAAGGTATGAGATTTTCAATGAGGCGTGAGATTTTAACTTTCATGCGTGTGAGCGTGAGAAATGGAGCTGAGGTGTGAGACACACTCGGTAGCCGTGAGAGTTGGTAGGTATGACATTGCTTGGTAAAAGAAAGAAATTTATAAAAAAAGTAACTACACATTTAATTACTTACCAGGCAGTTGCTTTGTAAACTTCGTAATGGTTTTTCTGGTGACACTTTCCTACGAACAACAGCTTTCCACAACCCTTCTGGCTTCATTTTCTTTGGAGATTTTGCTATTACAAACAGAAATAACATTACATAATGGCGTCAAGGTAACAACTGTTATTGGTAACAGTACTACTTCGATGTTTTCAGAACTAAAGGTGAATTTACAGGGAAACGACAAAACGCGGACCCCAGGTCCGTGGACTACCTTCGTGGACCTGGTCCATGGACTACCTTTGTGGACCACGGACCACTCCCATGGACCACTCTCGTGGACCACTTGCGAGACACCAGATTTTGGGGGTTTGAATTCTTGACTGTGCACGGAAAAATGTGTTCGAGTCGAGTTCAGTCATTATTATCATTGTGCCGGGAAACTTTACACAAAATGTGAAGTTCTAAATCCATTCACTATATGACCGTTCTAAAATATAAGTGTGCAATTACGACTTTAATGCAAAGTTTCCGAATATGTGCCCTTAAAATTGGTTGGGTTTTTTTCGATCGCTACAGAAAATGCAAGAAAAGCAGTAATCGAGCTTCAAAAATTAATATTTTTGGGAGAGGACCTTCAGGCATTGAAAGGTCATTGCAACTTACGACTTCTACAGTTCAAGTGATTTTTTAACAGTAAAATTCGAATAATTCAGTAAAATCCTTTGACCACCCCTCCCCCCCTCCCGATTCTCCACTATTCCTATATTTTGTAATGAACCCTGACTACATTTTTTCAGCATTTACAGACTTAGTATTCACTGTTCATCAACAAGAACTGAATTGATTGTGAAATAAATAATGCAAATGAATAATGAAATTGTTCCCGCCAATCTCGGCTTCCTAAACTCGGGTTAATTGTGCTTGGTCTAGTTGGTAGGCGAAATTTTTCAAGTGGTCCACGGGAGTGGTCCGTGGTCCACGAGTGTAGTCCATGGACCAGGTCCACGAAGGTAGTCCATGGACCTGGGGTCCGCGTTTTGTCGTTTCCCGAATTTACACTGTTGCGTTTTTCATACACACCTACGTGCAGGCACATAAAAGTTTAAATCCCTTCAAAAGTTGCTTATGAAGTAATTAAGTGTATTTTTGAGTCTATTATTAGACCATTCTGACATATTACCACATGCACCAAACTGACGTCGCCGGAGTAAATTCTGGTTTTTTACTCCAAAAGTAATTTAAACTGCCATTTGTTAAAATGTTTGAGCTGCTCTATATGATTAACTACAACAGTAATAAAGTATATTAGTTATTACTCACACTGCATCACACCCACGAATTTCAGAGAATATGATTGGTTGGATTGAAAATAAATTATTATAGTAATTAGTGGCCGGTGATCAAATTTCCTTGAGATTGTTGCAGCCTCTTGTTTCACTGAGCCTGCCACGCAGGATAATAATATTACAGCATTTAGTTTTGTGTATGATTTAAAGGTAATTACAACTAATACAAAATTTAGAAAGATTTAAACATTTACGTGCGTATATGCATGTAAGAAAAATGCGACAGTGGAAATCTGCCTTATATGTTACTCAGGCAGGCTATAACATACCTTTTCCAGGGGTTGTTGCGACAACATAATGAAGGAAATTCGATGCTCTGGCATGACCTACAGCAACAAAAATACATATTACAATACTAATAAGATCAGCTCAAAAGTCCATGCAGGTACTTCCATTCAAGGATTAGTTGCAGATGGTCATTGTATTTAAATTTGAATAAGTTACAAGCATTTTGCATCTTGCTTCTATGAAAATGCTTTTACCACTCTCACCATGATCAATTGTTGCATGAACAAATCTTAGCTTTATGTGCAAATACTGTACCTTTAATTGTGTCTCTCATGGCATAGTGTCCTTCTGCAGTTGACGTTGAATGGGACATTTGCCGAGCAAGTTCTTCTTTCGACAGCCCACTTGATTCGCCGGAGTCATCAAGCTGTCGATGGCTGGACACTGCCGACTTACGAATTTGCTTTCCAGTCACATTACCAGAAATTGATGGGTCCAGCAATTTAGCAACTTTAGTTATTCTGTTAGAAATCTGTGAAGAAGGAATAGGATTCCCCCTCACTGTCAGAAAGAAAAGTGGTTCTTTCTCTCTTTTGTCTTTTCGCTGGAGAAATGAATGCTTGTTTGCCACAGTTGGTCTTAGTACCTCCAAGTAAATCTGGGCACACTTGTAGATACGAGTATCCCAGGATAGGCTTGCTGGTCCAGTACCTGAAAAAATGTCGTTATAAAATTTTGTTAATACAATACAAACTCAGTAACCTTTTGTTCTCTCCTATTTTTTGTTTCATGTCTGGGATTAGTGAAGATACCGGCCGGCCTTTTTTACAGAAAAAAGTAGGTGAATGCATTCTATTACTATTACTTTTTTGTTGAATTCATGCACAATCTTATGACTGTTAATTTTCAAATGCAAATTAAGTTTAAATATAGACAAATATACTGTTACAAAACATGAGTGGTAGGTGCCAGTACAGGTAGAGAAGATATACTGTAACCTGCTGCAGTGGGAAGGAATTACAACTACAAGCAGTGACATTGAAAGCTGGGACACTTGAATTGGAATGTTAAAGGGATATGGCAATATAAATTAAGTTTGTCTTATTTGAAAGAACATTTTAAATGATATATAAATTTCATTTATTTCCGCATGTTACTTGGTTTTCGAAATAAATCGACTTATTTATATCAAAAGCAGCGTGAATTTCACCATCTTGGATATGCATTTGATATGCATACGTTACAAGTAGGGTAAAAAGCAAAATTTTTATATTGCAAACCACTTGTAATTATCAATATATAGGTGATGTAGATTTGTCAACAATGCACTAGGACACGAAAGCTGGTCAGATAAAATGTTAATTTTAGTCTCACAACATTGAACAGGGGGATGGGACTTTCTGTTACTGCCTCAGCCTAAAGTGGTCCACCTATTTTGTCACTCATTGTACCTGAAAAATTCAATATTCCGAGCGAAGGCCCTGCATTGTGTCATGGTACAAAACACACCTGCCGTCTTGTGGCGTTTTGTCAATGTGACAAACTGTTTTACACTTGTGCTCTCATCCCATTCTCCGGCTTGGAATTTGTTAATAGTCAAGTTACAAACAGCCCCAGGATGTTGAGCGCTTTGTAAAAGTAGCATCGTTATCAAGTAATCACGAAGCTCAACAAACTCATTCTCTGGATCATCCAGTTTCTCAAATCGTTTCTCAAATTTGTCGTGAAGAGGTGAATTGAACAAATTCCACATTTGGGAGCTCGTCAAAAGTGATTGAAAATCTTCTTGATGAACTTCGGTTTTCCTGCTAGCTGATTCTTCAGTGAATGACTTCATCCAGTTCGACACTCTGCCTTGAAATTCTTTTACTAAACTAAAATCGTTTTGCTGGAAACCAAACTCGTTTGCCAAACTTGATGCTCTGGTCAACAAAAAGTTGTAAAACATTAACAAAGCAGAAAGATAAGCTCGTAAGGTGCCTACTTTCCTAGGCTTTGTTAAAAGGTGATTGCCTTCAATAAAGGCACGGCGTATGTGTACCATGGCATCGTCATTCCACAACAAATTTACATTAGCTAATGTTTCATCGACTTCGTAAAGAAGTCGGCCAACTCGCCACTGGGCTTCTCTTGATGGTTTTGGCCCCCGGCGACCTCCTTCCACTGATAACAGGTGGTCCAGAAACCGAGCAAGAAGTGGTTGGATTTCAACTACTTTTGCAATTGAGCTTCTTTGAATTTCTTTTGGCACAGCCAGCTCTTCTGGAGGTTCTGCTGTAACATCTGGGTGCTCAAGTGTTGGGATCTCATCAGAAGGATGACTGTGCGTGGAATCGATAAACAAATCAGGACTGTCTGGGTAATCATTGGAGGAATGATGACTGGGTGGAGAACTATCAGAGGAATGATGACTGGGTGGAGAACCATCAGAGGGATGTTGACTGGGCGAGGTAGGATTATCACATAGCTGTAGCCGCCTTTTAGCTGCTGGTTTCTTAGCTGGAATGGAAACAACAGACTTTCTGCCCTTTTCTGCAAGTGTGTCTCGTTTCTTCTGTGTTTTCTGTGGGGTTTTCTTTCTGTTGTCATCTTTTATTTCTTTTTCGATGTCCTTCCTCAATTTTGAACCTTGTGTATTATATCTAAATTAACATACATCAACCCATTAACAAATAAAATCATCTGGCTTTAAAGTAAAATACTCTGGCGTTAGACAGTAACATACTAAAGTAGGGCACATCAATTTGCATTGCTCAGAGGCATAGCCAGGATTTTTGGTCTGGGGGGCCAGCAAAAACCCAGGTGGAGCCAAGCCGGCAGTGACCCGAAACGCAAAGTTCGCACAAGAAAAACTTTTCGGATTACCCCCCCCCCACCCCGTCGACCGCTTTTTCGGTAAAAGCATTTCCGGACAACAACATTACAATTGCTTTCATAGCATTTTTCCTGATTTAAGACTAGTTTAAACTTCATCTAACCATTTAATACGTATTGAAATAATTAGGGTTAGAAAGGTATGTGTTTCAAGCTGTGTGCCGCAAATAAGCGAACAAGATTTTAGCTTTCATACCGATGCGCAACAAAGCATATATTCTACAGAATTTTTGCATTATTGACAGCATGAAGCTATATAATCCAGGATTCCCTTTTTATACAATACATTTTATCAGGGGGGCAAAAATTTTGCCAGGGGAGCCGGACCCTCCGGGCCCCAGCCTTGGCTACGCTTCTGGCATTGCTACGTAAAGGTTAACACATTCTCATTTAAGGACTTTCCATTTTCCTTAAATTTTCCGACGTGCTCACAGATTCATAAAACATTTCTTTTTGTTATATTTTATCAGAGCTCGTAACATCGCCAAGTCCGAAAAGAGACAACTTTTTTAATCTTGACGTTTCAATCATGCAAAACTTTAATCATCATTTAGTTGTCACTCACTCCTGATGATGATTGAAATATAGTTGAAAGGTATGATTAAAAAATGGTAGGAGCACTTTACATGCGCATTGTGTCTGCAATTGTCTCCCACGCGCCTTTCATTCTGTTTTTCGCCATAATAAATGAGGACAGAAGTTAAAATAATCCTCTAAATGCATGAGCACCTAAAGTTCAGTAAAGGAGTTAGAGAACAAATAATTGCTCTGAGTAATGAGGGTTTCAAACCGAGGCAATTTGCTGCAAATATAGATGTGTCAAAAGATGGACTTGAAAAACTGGGATTCGCACTTCACTTGGTGGAATTTATAAGCTGGTATGCATGGATAGATAATCCA